CACCCCCAACCCATCCGGGAGCCTGGGATGTACTAGGCGACATTGGTCATTGGTAGTGATGGCTGAGCTGGGAGAGCCAGTTGTCTCTAAGAGAGCTGGGAGACAGGATGCCTGGGCTCCTCCCGGAGCTTGCCCTGTGGCCTCAGTCTCCCCGTTGGATTACTCAAACTGGAGTGCTACCGAGAATTGGCCCCTGAGATCTGGCCCCTGACTTCTCACAACTTTGCATTTACTGACAAGCCAAGGCGTTTGCCCAAACGGATGTTCAGCATTCCAATGCCTTCTTTCCCTCGAGATCTGGATTCTGTTATTCCATCTCCCACTGCTCCCCTTCCCCACTGGGGCATCACCTGCCCTTCCCCAGGCCAGGTGTGTTTATTATATAGTCTTCCAGAAAGTTCTCCACTCAATGGGACACACTTCCATTCACATATGCATACTGCCTTTCAGATTAAAAAAACAAAAAAACCCAAAACTTTGGGAAACTGAGGCAAAAGGTGGCTGGAAGTGGAGCCCCATGCAGCATTGGCCCCCAGACATATGTTGTCTGGCCTGGTGTCCTCTGTGGCTGAGGTAAAGATTGTGGCAGGAAGTCTGTCAAATGGGAGGGGTAGAGGTGGTGGCAGGGTGCCAGCCAGGAGAGGAAGACCTGATGGGCCAGGAATGGGATTCGTGGGCACAGCCCTGGTCCTCCTGGTGCAGTTCTAGGGTGAGTACTTGGGCCTCTCTCCCTTCTGCACCCCTTCTGTTGTCCATCACTTCAGTTGCCTGCTCCCATCAACATAAGAAAGATTCAAACCGGTGAAGAATTTTTGAGTTTATTTGAGCCTCACTGTTGACGATTGCCGGGAAGCAAAATCTCAATGGATTGAGATAACGCCCTGGAGAATGGCAGTTTTACCCCTTATTTTATACATCAGAATCAAAAGAAGAGATGTAGCCCTGGCCGGCTTCAATCAGTGGTTCGAGCTTTGGCCTGCAGACCGAAGGGTCTTGGGTTTGATTCTGGGTCAAGGGCACATACCTTGGTTGCAGGTTTGATCCCTGGCCCTGGTCGGGGCTCATGAAGGAGGCAACCAACCAATGTGTCTCACTCATCATTGATGTTTCTCTCTCCCTCTCCCTCTTCCTTCCTTTCTCTGAAATCAATAAAAACATATTAAAAAAAAAAAAAAAAAAAAGCCACTGCACCAATCACACAGTCCCTCAGGTTAAAACCTGGGAACCCCCATCATCCCTCTTTCCTTCCATTCCAGTTCAGTTCTTGCAGTTCTTCTGGGGGACCACCCTCAAAAATCTATTCAGAGTCTGACCACTTCTCTCCAGACTCTGGCCCCCATTACTGCTCACCCAACCCTTGTCTCCCAGCCCCTTTGACCCTCCCCCAATAGTCTGCTCTCACTGCTCAATCAGATCTTTTCAAAACTTATATTGGACCATGTTTCCTTCCTGCTTAGCTGGTGTCTCATCACACTTAGGTGAAAAAGCAACGTGTACCCCTTTCCCATCTCCCCTCCCTGCCCCCACCAAACCCCACCCCTGTGGTCCATAAGGCCTTGTATAAGCCATCTCCTACTGACCTTTCTGATCCTACCTCCTCCCTCTTTTTCCCTGATCTCTCTGCTACAGTCACAGGGGTCTCCTTGCTGTTCCTCCAACTCACCAAGCACAGTCCAGCCTCAGGACCTTTTCCCAGGCTGTTCCCTTTACCTAAAATACCATTCTTCCATAACTTCCTTCCTTCCCATGATTGGCTCCTTTTTACCAATCAGATCCCTGCTCAAACGTCACCTCCCCTGAGAGGCCTTCCTTGACCACCCTAGACAAGTAGATTCTCACCTCATTCTTATCCCCAGTTGCCACTCCCTGTTCCTTTCCTCCATCATGATTCTCATTTCACAGCTTCCTGTGTTTCTCTCTGCCCTGGACCGTCAGCTCTATTAGGGCAAGAATTTTTGTCTGTCTCGGTCACTTCTGTGTCTGTGTCCACGGTATCCAGAACAGGTTCTGGCACACACAAAGTGACATTTGTGTAGCCGAGAGCTGGGCATGTCATAAAGTCCATCTTGAAATTTCACAAATGCTGAGAGAGTTATACCCATTTCACAGCTGAGGCCATTGAACCTCAGCAAGGAGAAGTGAGTTTGCAAAAGATCACACAGACAGCAGGGTTTTAACCTCTTACTGCCTCACCCCAGTGAGCTGGCTCTGGGAGTAAGACACGTGTGTGTGCACATACACACACACACACTGAAAAAGACCTCACTCACCTCTTCTGTCTTTCAGCCCTGTAAGGAGCCACAGGCCTGAGTGTGCAACAGGGACCCAAGTTGCTGCAGGTGAGGCAGGACAACCAGGTGACCTCGACCTGTCAGGTGGTATGGTCTCTGGCCTGGGAGCAGCTCCATGTCGAGTGGACCAAGGACAGTGTCACCTTGTGCTCACCATACATCACCAACAGCAAGCTCAGCCTGGAGGGCTGTGGGCCTCAGGGATGGCTCTCCTGCAGCCCCCTGGCGATCTCGCCCTGCAGCTGGACCAGGTGAGTATCAGCAGTGGGAACTGCCTGTGCTGAGCAACCAGGGAGATTCCCCAGATGGTGGGGGCCACAGGCAATGGGGCGCAGCTCCTGGCTGAGACAAGTATGAGAGCAGGTGGGGAGGAGAGGCGGGACGTGGAACTTCTAGGACCGTAAGACTCTAGAATCTCAAACAGCTAGAAACATAAACTCTAACTACAAATCCGATTCTTAGGGACAGAAATCCTGCAAACACAAGAACATCAAATTTTAAATCACAGAATCAAAAACATGCTGGAACTTATAACTCTAGACCAAGGGTCCAGCAAACTTTTTCTGTAAAGGACCACATAGTAAATATTTTCTGTTTTGTGAACCAGGTGGTCTCTGTTGCAACTATTACGCTCTGCCTTGTAGCATGAAAGCCCTTGTAGAGGGCAATAGGTAAACGGCGGGGCTGGGTTCCAATAAAACTGTATTTGAGCCCTGGCCAGTGTGGCTCAATTGGTTGAGCACTGTCCCATGCACCAAGAGGTTGCCGGTTCGATTCCCAGTTGGGTGCCCAGGTTTTGTGCTCCATCCCCAGTGGGGGCTGTGGAGGAGGCAGTGGATGTTTCTCCCTCTCTCTTTCTCTCTCCCCTCCCTCCTTTCCTTTCTCTCTCAAATCAATAAAAACATGTTTTTTTTAAAAAAACTTTATTTGAAGAAACAGGCAGTGGGCCGAATTTGATCCCCAGGCTATACAGTTTGTTGAACCCAGTTCCAAAATATCACAATCATAAAGACTCTTTAGTACATATAATTCTGGAGATTTTATTAAAAACAATTCCTGCCCGGCCGGGCATGGCTCAGCGGTTGAGTGTCGACCTAGGATCCAGGCGATCAGGGTTCGATTCCCGGTCAGGACACATGCCCAGGTCGTGGGCTCGATCAATGACTCTCTCATCATTGATGTTTCAATCTCTCTCTCTCCCTTTCCTTTTCTCTCTCTGAAATCAATAAAGATATATTTTAAAAAAACACACAAAAAAACCAATTCCGGAATCTTTTTTTTAAACCTGCCATTAAAGCATATCCTACATACAAAGGAATGCGCAGCTCAATGGATGTCCAAGATCAAAATACCAGCATGGTTGTGTTCTGGTGAGGAACCTCTTCCTGGCTCATAGATGGCATCTTCTCGCTGTGTCCTCACAAGGCAGAAGGGTGACGGAGCTCTCCATGGGGGCCACCCTCATGACCTAATTACATCCAAAAGGCCCCACCTCCTATACCATCACTTTTAGTGGTTAGGATTTAACAAATGCATTGGGGGGAGAGGCATATTCAGACCATAGCAATGGATTTGCATAGCCAGAGCTCACCCATGCACCCACCACTCAGCACAAGAAATAATTTTCCAGCCCGGCCAGTGTTGCTCAGTGGTTGCATGTTGACCCATGAATCAAGAGGACTCAGTTTGATTCTCCATCAGGGCATGTGCCCGGGT